CATGGACACTTAGATGACATCTTTCACTTTTGTTTGTTCTGCAGGCTAAAAAATCAATTTGTCAGTGACCTACGGTAACTTATGTTTTAGTATTACATTTAAACTTTTTAAAGTTAATAATATAACCATATATTTGACAAAATCTAAAATAACTTTCATATGTTTTTTTATCAATTCACTAACCTTAAGCATATCACATTTTCTTGAATTTATTGCTGAAGCTTTTCTCGCGACATTGACATAAGATGCAAAAAGGTTTACTTTAACTTGTTATATGAAAAATAATTTTGTGTATTGCTTTATTGTAAATACGTTTAGAGTAAACAAATGTTTCAAACTAACTATTAATCAATAAAGTATCTTAAGTAAACAATACAGGCAGCACAGGTCCACCTAATTATTTAACACAAATGACACAAAAATGTAATTAAATGTAAAAATGTAATCATGCGCAGTAGGTCATGTGTGGTTTACTGTCAATGAGCTATTAACATTTGCACTTCCTCTGTATATGAAAATAACAGTAGTTTGTGCAAGATTTTTACCAACTGAATTCTGTCTGGGTTCGATAGGGATATATAAATTTTTTATAATTAATTTTGAGTAAACTCCCCACAAAAACACACATCAAAAAAATAGTACACCCAAAAATAAAAATTGTCATTATTTACTCACTCATGTCGCTCCTTAATGAGCATGGGACGATAACCGGTTTTAAGGCATACTGCGGTTTGGAAAAGTCAAGGTTTTAAAACCACCAAAGTTTTCTGTTATACGTCTCTAAAGTCCGGCTCACACTGTACATTAGTAATTATATCATACATGGTTAATTGTATTCAAGTCAATGACATAATAACTTTGTTAATCTTCATGAGAATGTGATGACAGGGCTCAACAATAAGGACTGCCCGCTGGCCCGGGGCCAGTGTGAAAGACGCTCTGGACAGTAGACAGGATTGTTACTGGCCCCTATCGGCCAGTAACGGTGAGCATGCAATTTTTTTGAGAGGGTGCTCGCTGCAGAGCCATTTGAGGAGAGCTGAGCTCCAGCGAGGGGGAGCATGAGCTGTCGCTCCTCCTCCTGTAAGCTGTTTTAATGCGTACACCAACCCCACCCCTAACCCTACCCCAGTGACATCACTCGTAGAAGTGCAAAAAAGGTGGAGCTCAAGCTTAAGCTCCCCCTCGCTGGAGCTCAGCTCTCCTCAAATGGCTCTGCAGCGAGCACCACTTGATTTTTTTCGTAACATGGTAACAACAATTACAGCGAAAGGATGGCAACATCTAACTATGAGGCTTAGGCCCCGTTTACACTAATGCGTTTTAGTTTGAAAACGCATAAGTTTTGCTACGGTTACGCCATCCGTCCACACTACGCCGGAGTTCTCGAGCGCCGAAAACGGAGCGTTTCGAAAACGCTGGAGAGGCCGTTTTCATTCTAAAACGCTGCAGCTCCGTCTCAGTGTGGATGGGGAAAGACGGAGATATCTGAAAACGGAGGCGGGGCTGCAGACATTCGCCTCTCTGATTGGGGCTTTTCCTCAATATTAAGTAGCCTAACACACAGTTCAGTCCTGAATCTTCTCCGTGTAAGTTCAGACTTCGCAAGTTTGATCAAGGCTGCATCTCTTCTTCTCAGTTTGATATGGAAAACATACCGAGGACACGCGTCAATCTTCACAGGGAACAGTGTACTTTATAACTTCATTCACATCACCTTGGCTACGTTGTTTCACTTTCTCAACAATAAAATGTAAACTTGATATAAGGAACTGCCTATTTTTATTTTAATATTAACAACTAAACAGACAGCAGAAATGTTGAGGCGTCGTGCTGCATGAGAGTCATCTTCACTGTGTGCATATTTATAACAAAACGGAGCCGATAACAACTGCCTCCTTTCAATTTCAGTGAAAATACGAAACACACCCTCTCTTTTGCTGAATATCAGTTTTAATAATCGATAATGGCCATTATAAAAGTATAACATACAATAAGTTTATACATTATAGGAAATAAAGGCAAGCGATCAGTCAATATACAGAATGTAGGCTACGTGCTTACATTAATCATTAACTTATCTTTGCGCTCAGCCAAAACACGTTACCTGAGAACAAGTAATAGATTCCAGTGACCAAAGTCAGGGAATATGTCGTTAGATAAAGACAACAAGATGAATGAAATATCACGTTTAATAAATATAGTGAGATTAGATCCAGCGGGAGATGCTTGATGAGAAGTCCGACTAGCAGAGCTCTCATCTGGGTAGATGGGCTCCAGCGATTGCCAAAGTGTGTGTGTGTGGTCACGTGATGTGCGTTTTCAGCGTTTTGGTGTGGACGGAGAGCAGTTCAGAAACGCTGGGTAAAACGCGAGTGTGGACGCGGATCGTTTTCATTCTAAAACGCCGTTTTAAAACTAATACGCACTAGTGTAAACGGGGCCTTAAAGAAAACGTCAGTTTCTAAAGTCTTGGAAGCAGACAATTACATGGGTACAAAATTAAGAAACTAAAAAAAAGAAAGAAAAAAAAAAAAAAAAAAGAGTTGTCGGTTTGGCAAGACATTTTTATAAAAATAATTTAGAATTGCAATAAAATACCAGCACATTTTTCATACTGCTCTTTCGTTTGCAAAAAGTCTAACTAATTTTGCTCATTATACAGTTTACAAAATATGTGGCTAAGAAATAGCTATTAACCTTTTTTTTTTTTGTGGTGGGGCGAGTGAAAATTTTGGCAGGGCAAGTAAAAACCTCAACCACTGGCCCAATTGGCCCAGTAGAAAAAATCCTGAGCGTTGAACCCTGGATGGGTTATTCACTTCTCTGCCGGAGACTGCTCTATGGTTTTAAAACCCTTTTCAAACTATATCGTTTAAACCTGGATAATTTTTTTATATGTAGTTTTTTACTTGTGGATGTGTGATGAGCCAACTGCGGTAGCTTGGCAACAGAGCCACGACATCAACACACAGAATCTATCGGCAAAGTTCAGCACGGTTGTCCAACCATGTCGAGAATTCCGGGCCGAGAACGGTTTGTAATCGTGCCACACCATTCCAGGCTCAGTGGAGAAACAACTGCAACCGTACCGAAGAGTTCTTAGAATGGTTTGGCATGATAGTGGAAAAGCGCCTAAGGTTTTAAAACCTCCAGAGTTTTCTGTTATACCGTCCCTAAAAGCCGACTCACAATGTGGGACTTTTTATAATCCTGAACGATTGTAGCACATCAGACTGTACGAACATGACTGTCATGTAACACTGTAAGATCTCAGCTGTCAAAGTCAAACTGAACGACAATGAAGATGCACCAAACATGAAAGAAAACGCCCCCTGAGTTTGACATGATCCATGTTTGACACTTTCACTATCCTGAGTTCGGAAATTATTCCTCACAGCAAACGTAAACAACCTGTAGTGTGAATTTTGTTTGCGGCATGTCTCAAAAATAAAACCAGGAATAAAAAAAAAACTGTTTTGACATTTCCCTGCCGTCATTTGAATTGTCGCATGGATTGTGTCATCAAACTCAGCGCTCCTATTGGTTGTTGGATTGACGCTCATCGTAGCTGTTGTCACACTGCAGGAAAGTGTATGAAATCTGCTGACACTGCCAGAACTTCATTGGAGAAAAAATCTGATCGCAATGAGTACTAAGCGGCTGTCTGTGAACATGTCAAACCAACAATCAAAGATTACTGATTTTAGCCAAGGATTTCAGGAATCTTTTAGGATTTCCCAAATTTGTCTTAGATGACAAAATTGTGGCTGAAATCTCACAGTGTGAGCAGGGTTTAAGGTATGTGTAAGATATTATTTTAGTTTTTTTATACGTTCTACAACATTTACAATTATTTTATTTAGTTTTAGAGCAACTGTAAGCTACTGGTCCAAAATATTTCAGATATTTCACAAATTAAAATATATTGTGTTCAATTGGGAAAAAAATACCTTATTTTAGAGCAGTAATCACAATACCGTGATACTGTGAATCCGTTATATTTTTTATCCAAGGTTATCGTACCGTCAGAATCTTATACCCGCCCATGGCTATTCCTTAACTCCCAAGTCTTTTGTTCATCTTCGGAACACAAATTGAAATATTTTGGATAAATTCTGAGACCTCGTTGATCTTCCATAGACAGCAGCTGTCCTGACTCATTCAAAGTCGAAAAGGTAACAAAAAATAAAGTGCACAGTGCTGTTGTGAACATGTACCCTATACTGACACTGAAAAACTTGAATTAAGTTTTTATTTTTAGTGCACATAAAGGTATTCTCATAGCTTGATAATATTCTGCTTGAGCCACTGAAGAAATATGGTCAGTTTTGTTGATGTATTTTAGACATTTTTCTAGACTTTAAAAGAGTCGGGATCATTGTTGTCTATGGAGGATGTGGGAGCTCTCGGTTATAACTCACAGCTCTCAGATTAAAAGGTCTCAGGGGTTGGAACTACCTGACGGTGTGAAGCAGTAATAAAAATTTTACAATTTAATTTCAGTTTTGCACTATATGTTTGATTATACAGTTGTTGTTTTTTTCTAAAAAAAAAAAAAAAAAAAAGAAGAAGTAGAAGAAGAAGAGGAAGAAGAAGAAGAAGAAGAAGAAGAAGAAGAAGAAGAAAGAAACGACAAGAAATTTGGACATGACTTCATGCAGTTTTCATGCAAACATTTTTACAAATCTGCACTACAAAAATGTTTGCAATACTTAATAGAGTCAATCAACTAGGGAAGTATGGCGATCAATAAGTTAAATATTTACCCCGTTCGCCTGCAGTGTCTTGACTTTTTACAAGAGCATATACACCTTACAGGACTAAACATTCTTTAAGACACACTAACTAGCTAATGTTACCAATTCTGTGAAAAGATGGACCATAATATACTCTGTTTGGGTTATGCTCTATTGGGAATAAAACTGTAGAATGACACCAGCTCATTTTTCATCTAAACCAATCATACTAATCCACTGAAGATCTGACAGGTTTCTTACCGCGAAGATTCTTCTGAGAATCCGCCGTCGAGCAGTCGGACTTTACAGAACAGAACTCCGTTCACGAACGGAACAGAGGACAGCTCGTCCAGCTCAAAATCCACTCTGAACTTAAACTTCTTTTTCTTCATCATCTTGGCGTCAATTCTAAGCAGTCCTGTAAGCCTTGACGGTAGCTTTGGTCATACGCGGTGGACAAGCATCACTTTTATTTGCTCATCTTCGGTTGCTTCTGTTGTTGGAGCTGATAGCCGTTAGCCACTGCTGGAATCCGCCACTGCCTGAAATGAAAAGCTAAGCTAACGACGATGATGATGAAACACAGTCTTGTCGGATTCTTCTGTCATTAACTACATCGTTACGGTTGATAAAGGCATTAAAAGGAAATATGCTGGTCAGTGGATGTGCAGGCAGTAGGTGATAGACTGTCTCGCTCCGCGACAGCTTGTGTTGTGCTGCTGCTGTTGTATTGTGTTGTCGTGTAGTAGCGGGAGCGCGCAGACGACTATTCTTAAAGGGCCAGTCGACTCTTAAAAATATCGATGCAAGGGGACAAAGGACGGGTCATGTAGTTTATAAACAGTAATGTAACATGTGTTGTGGACTGCAGTCATGAATGTACATATAAAAGCAAATAATTAAAATCTACAGTGTGCCAATCCAAATCTAAATATATTTAATGAGCAAAAATGCCAATGGTAAATCACAAATGCATTTTATTGGAAACAAAATCATATAATTTCCAGATTTGATACCACTGATCTTCTTCATCTTTAGCCTTTGAAGTTGCAAACTGTTCCTAAGGTTAGGTCCTGATGACTAATGCCAAGTGCAAGGACTGCTTAGACTTCCAAATATTCAAAAGCTGCTGCAAGGAATTGTATAGGTCTAATCAAAACCTGACAAAGCTCTAAACACATTTCCACATCAATAATAAAAATAATAATATTAATAATTATATGCAAATTATATATATATATATATATATATATATATATATATATCTTGCAATATAAATGTCTTTTATGGGACAAAACATATAGAGCATAAATACTTTCTCGTTCATCTTGCAAATGTTTTCACATGTTTGTTAGTTGTGGGAAACAGCTCATTTGATAAGTGTGAATTGGCCTTTCATTTTAGCTATTCTCTGTGGGATTTACAACCACAATGTCAGGAACCTTTTGGTCACATTCTGCTAGTTTGCTCCCACCAGTTCTTTGGAAATGAACAAGTAAATTTGACCACAAACTGCCCAAAGAGTAGGCTTATTTGAAATAGTTTAGTATACTCATTACTTCTTCCAAACCTTTATGTGTTTATTTTGTTAAACAAAAGAAGATATTTTGAAGACAGCAGAAAACATGTAACCATTGACTTCCTTACTTATTTATTACTAAAAAAACAAATGGTTTTCAGCTTTCTTAAAAGATTATTTTGTGTTTAACAGAAGAAAGAAACTCATAGAGGTTTGTAACAAGTGAAGGGTGAATACACCGTGAATTATTTTTTTGGGGTGAACTATCCCTTCAAGTTCAGACACGCAGTAATAAATAACAGTAACATAGAGCAACACTGACCACTAGTGGTTCATAATAGAAGTTTAACACCTGTCGCTGCAAAAAAATAGTGCTGCATATTTAACATGGGAATTCTTCATAGACTTAACACACAACAGGTGGCGCTATAGTACTTCAATAGTAATGTGTGATGTTTCTGATCGACCTATAAGGTACTTTTACGAACAAAACAAACATTTAACACATCATGAAAACAGTGTTAAAAGTCACCTTTCTAAAAAAAAAAAAAATCTAGATTTTTGGGGGGTTAGTGGGTCATTCATTATCATTCATTACCCACTAAGAATTTTTTTATTGGATGCTTGAAAAACATTAACAAAAGTCATCAATCAAACAACAACAATCCAGGGGCTTTCAGGCATTTGGTCAAAGACAAGTTCTTTATCAAAGTCCTTGTTCTCACTGCTTTTACGTGTGTTGATCCTTTCATTAAGTGGAACAGTATTTATATTAATGCATGCATGTCACTGCAGGTCCTATTGCCAACAAACACATTTAAGCATAACGAATTTATATAACTATAATAAAGTGCACATACAGTGTAAAGTTTTGTAAAGTGTAAAGTTCACTAACTAAAGAACACTTAGGGTAAAATCTTTTCTTAGGTCTCCAAAGCAAAAACGTCGTTTTGTTTTTATTTTCTCTTAAAAAAAAACAACAACTCTTAAACTGTTAAAAAGAAGTTTGGATTCATAGTAATAAATAAAGAATAGAAGTAGGCTTATTGCGGTTGTGCGTCTGTACGCGCGTTTAGAGCGTCTATCCAGCCCCCTCATTTTGTCTCAAATATCACGTCATTCCTGCTTTTCCTCAAACCTCTTTCATGCCGAGGACCAGGCACCTGCCCTTATCTGGACTTTACTTCTGCAAAACCTCGTCCCGTTATTTCACCTGGAGGGCAGTGCACATGGAGCTGTGTTTGGTGGGTTGCCGTTTTTAAAGTGGACAAAAAAAACTAAAGTTTTATATGCTTGGAGGGATTATTTCGTACACATTTGACTGACGATGACTGAGATGAAAATTTGGTGCGTTTTGCTCATGGCTTTCGCTCTCACATCAGCCGCTCCGAAATCCCACCTGCGGCTAGAAGAGAAGACAAAGGACAACAACGACACTCTGCAGGTTGAAATAGATAATCAAGAACATATATTAAGTCAGGTAAGATACATTTAAGATAGGATAATCTATCGAGATGCTTTTTAAGTCACAATATGTGCAATAACACTTTAGTAACACTTTATGATAACTTTCATTAATAAGATGAACAATTTTTACAAATCTGGAGCGATGCGTTCTCTAGCGAAAAATGTTAGGAGCCTACCTCAGAAAACAAATGGATACTGAAGTGATTGTATAGGACAAAAAAGTTTTGACCTCGGATCAGTGCTGGGTAGATTACTACTACTCTATAAGAAATTAAAGAGTTGTTCAGTGCAAATTACAACATGCCAAAATGATATCTTAGATTACACGTTTAGGTAATGTAACCTGGCTATATGTTTACTTACTTTTAGATTACTTTTACAATTACAAATATTTTAGTCAAAATAAAACATCTGAATCTTGAGTGAATATGTTATTTGTTTACTGTAAAATAAAAACAAAATAAAAATAATGTTGCATTTACATGTACTCTAGAGAGCCTCTTTCATTCACATGAAACAAATTGTCAAAGATTATTTAATTTTCATGATAATTATGAGAGATGTTCTGTATGTTCTATATAGGCTGAAATATACTTCAAAGGGCACCTATGATTAAAAAAAATCTTCTTTTGATAGCTGTTTGGACAGAACTGTCCTTATGTATTGTGTGTCCACTGTCAGACTGAAGTGATATAAACCCAACAAGTCTCTTTTTTTCTGACGTTAAAATTGGACTTAAAACCCAGTGATTTTGAGGCCCACCACAATGTGATATAGGAGCGCGTTTTTCCCCGCCCACTGAATTAATTGACATGCGCCTTATTTCTGTAATAACATGTACACACATGTCCACAAAACATTTTTTTTTTCAAATAAACTTGGAATAAATTATTTGTTACAACTCTCTGTGATATTTATAAGTTTTATAAGTTTATAATGTTTTAAAACACCATATTTGTAATAAAGACAGTAAATCTCGCTAATGAATTTTTAACCGCTTTAATCACCACAGGCACATGGTGTTAGTAAACGCACATATGTGTGTGTTTGTGTGTACTGCAAACAGCATTTATGTGAGACTCATCATTTCAGAAAGGCTTGAATAAACTCCACCACAAATACATGAAATAAACTTACTAGGTATTTTTGACTCATGACATTATTTCAGCTTCATCTGAGCCTGTCTGTCACTGACTGCTGTTTATCTGACTAACGCAGGACAAGTAGACACACACATGGGAGCGGTAGGTGGGGAGAAGCAGCCACAGGTTACAAAACAGCCAAAATGTACTCAGACACTAAAATGGGCAGATTTTGGAGGCTATAATACATTATCTGATGGGAATTTTGAGCTGAAACTTTACAGACATTCTGGAGACACCAAAGGCTTATCTTGCATCTTGTAAAAGGGGTAAAAATGGGTGCCCTTTAATCAAACTATAATAACAATGTATGTTATCAACGTAATGCAGATTTATTGCAGCTTGTCCAAACAAATTATTTTGATCAGATGCTTTAAATGCTGTATTCTCACAATGTCATTTTCTTGTATTATTCTTTCTTTTTTTTTTTTTTGTAAATAACGAGTATGTACAATGCATTTTTAGCTGCAGTTCACTCAATGACCACTGGACTATTTAAAAAAAGGTTTTTGATTTCGCATAGAGCCCTTACAAACGTATGATTGTTAATGTTATTAATGAAAGTTATTAAAATGTTCCAATAAAATGAATAGTCTACACTCTTAAAAATAAAAGTTTGGGAGAGAAGAACCATTGTTGCTTCCAACCAAACAAAAAATGGTTAAAACATTTAACCGTTCTCAAAATAACTTATTTTTTTTGTAAAGAAAAACATTCATTCTTTCACCTTTAGCTTAGTCCCTTTATTCATCAGGGGTCGTCACAGCGGAATGAACCACCAACTTATCCAGCATAGGTTCTACAAAGTGGATGCCCTTCCAGCATCCATACACACTCATTCACACACAAACACTACGGCGGTGTTTCTCAACCACGTTCCTGGAGGACCACCAACACTGCATGTTTTGGATGTCCTCTTTGTCTGACACACCCATTACAGGTCTTTTAGTCTCTGCTAATGAGCTGATGCTCTGAATCAGGTGTATTTGGCTAAAGAGACATGGATTATTGCTAACCAATGAGCCACCGTGTTGCCCCTTAAGAAAAACATAAAAAATGTAACTTTTTACTTATGGATGTTAACTTTTCTTTTTAAGAGTGTATTCAACATTCAACAATTATCATCCATAAATAATTATCAAAAGCTGATAATGTAAACAAAGTGCAGTGATTTTGCTTGCTTGCTGGGTTTTCTTTGTAGCTGCTGGGTGATTATGACAAAGTGAAAGCGCTTTCGGAAGGCTCTGACTGTGGCTGTAAATGTGTTGTCAGACCTCTGAGCGCCAGCGCATGCCAGCGGATCCGGGAGGGTCACGCGACACCTCAGGACTTCTACACGGTGGAGACCATCACATCAGGACCCCATTGTAAATGCGCATGCATTGCACCTCCATCCGCTTTAAACCCCTGTGAAGGTGACTTCCGGTTAAAGAAGTTGCGTCAAGCTGGAAAAGATAATATCAAGGTGACCAGAGCATCTGCAGTTTGGATCTTATAGACCAGAATAAGACAGGATGTAAATGCATAAAATGTCCTACTCTTAAATAAAACCAGCTCTAGCCATGATGGAATTTACTTCATCGTTACAGCTATCAACTATACTGGAACTGCTGGAGGGTTCTTTCTATGGCATGGACCTATTGAAATTGCACTCAGTCACTACAAAGATTCTCGATCGCATGGACACAATAGAAAAAGTAAGTTTAACTTGTTATTCTGTTTTAAACAATACTATTAATTAGACACCCATGATATATCGGTGGGCATATCGGTATCGGTTGATAAATGCATATTTTTTGATGTGATCAATATTGGCTCAATTTAATTTGATTGGTGCATTTGCACCTTATCACTCATTGCACCCTAGGGCTACATGTTATTGGAAAAATCGGACAATGCAATGTTTTTTTTTGCTGTGTTTTATATTGCGACATTAATACAATTTCAGCAGATGACTTGATAGCTCTATTTGGAATAAAATCATTAATTATGATTGGAATGATCTTATAAAGGAGTAAATCAAAGAAAAAGCAAGGATAAAAGTAAAATAAATAGTCAAATATTCCAGTACAGTAATACGATATTATCATGATATTTTTCCTCCAATAATGATAGATCTTGATATCAGTGATAAATCAGAAGAAACCCATTCACAATATATCATGATATTTGTAAATAAAAAGAAAAAAATGCATTAAAAAGTCAAAAGATGAATTTCTTTCTAAACCACACATATATTTCTTAGAATTGCAACGTTGATATATGTTCAATCCGCTACTACGAGAAGCACCACCTCATGCATATTCAGCCTGATCTCACTAGAAAACGTAAGAATTTTACATTTTGCCACTTTAGTGGCTAATTCATACGAGTTCAGTCATATGAAATTGTACGATTTTAAAAAGGAGGCGTGGCACCTAACCCCACCCCTAAACCTAACCGTCATCGGGGGATGGGCAAATCGTACTAAATTGTACGAATTAGATTGTACAAACTCATAAGAATTAGCCACTAAATCAAAAAGTTATGAATTGCCGTGAGACTGTGTTGGCATATCACATTTATTTTGTCCTTCCCCTACTAAATAATCAAATGTAATGCAAAATGTAAACACGGTACATTCCTCATTGATGATCCACTATAATTATCCCAACTCCACCTTGCAGATGCTGCGATGTGACTATTGCAAATGCACACATTTCGATATCGATACTGAAACGATATATTGATTTATTATTGTGCAGCCCTATTGCACACAGCCGATGCGCACTTTAAAAAATATTTTTGCTATACAGGGAAGACGTGTCTGCGGCGTGGGAGATTATCATCTTGAAAAAAGGGGGATGTCAGTAATACTGTATATATCAATAATTTTCTTTTATGTAAATGATTTGGTATCACTTCATTTTGATGGTCCGTATTTTGATGGTCGCTTCTCTGGAAACTAATTCTCATTAGATCGTAAGTAGACTGTTAGGTTGGGGTTAGGTTTAGAGTTAGTGTAAGGTGACATGTTCTTGAAAAGTTTCCTATAGTCAGTTAAATGTCTGTTAAAGGAGCAGTATCCACAGATATTGAGCAAACAGTCTTCTAATACTCAAGTGGACCATCAAAATAAAGTGTTACTTACCAATAATTTTGCAAAAATTGAGATCTGGATGTTTGCTGACAGTTGTTTTCTTTAATTGTAATCTACACTAACAAAAATGAGTTTTCTACTGGGTTTGTCTTATCATTATCAGAAAAATGCATATTAAGATTAAAATTTGTTGACCTACACTGTATATCGATTCTCGGCTTCTAAAATATAAAGAGATATCGGTTATCGGTTTTGACAAACATTTTAAAATCGGTGCATCCCTAGTATTATCTATGTGTTTTATTATTGACAGATGGTCTTAAACAACCAGACTGAGGAGAAGTTGAACACGATTAGCACCTCTCCAAATCCACAGCTGTCCACGTCCTCACCTACAACTCTGCCCTCAGTCATTCAGGAGAAGAGGACGAGTCTGAGGGAGCAGAATGACGAAGCAGCTGCTTTTCAGCACATGGAGGTGGGAGGTGCCGTTGAAAACAAATGTCGCATTACATAATTATCATGTCCAATACGTAACAATGGAATAATCCAAACATTATGCTAAGCCACAGAGTGAAACGGACCACCCGTTGCAGATGTATATTTATTTACTCAAGAGCGTTGACTCGGACACAAGAGTGACCTCATCCTGTGATTTGAAACTTTCACTAATTTATCCTGCTGTCAGCTCTTACATAAGTTGGCGTGAAAAGAGCCAAATGACTTGGACTATCAAAGATCCATAACAGATGATCTATGTATTAATCTGTTAGAGAGAAAGAATAAATAAAACAAAACGTATTTTCTAATCATTTTAAGAGTGAATTGATGAATGTGATTTAAAGAATAGCCAAATTATTTTGTGTTTGGAATGATCTTAGGCTAACAGAAAAGACTTTAAAAAAAAAATAATAATAATAATTAATAAATAAATAAAATTGGTGAATGATCTCTTTAAATGGCTGCAGTATTACAGTGTTCTCAAATGTACTCAACAGAGTAAATATGAGGAAAAGTTTGTTGGGGATATTCTGAACAGTGGATCAGACCTGAACAAAGCCACCACAGCATTGCAAGAACAGGAGCAACAAGGCAGGAAGAAGCAACCCAAAATTACTGTGAGGGGCATCACATACTATAGGTCTGACCCAGTGGATGAGATGGACTCAGAGAAGAACTGTAAGTATTAGTAAAAAGTAGCCCTTTTAAAAGTACTCAAGAGTAGTGAGTATAGACCAAGGGCGTTGCTAGGCCTATTTTAGGGGGGCTGTAGGAGGCTATAATACTACTTAGCCCCCCTAAAATTTTGCGATTAGCTCATAAACTCGCCTCAGTCCCCTTCAAATTTGATTAGAAAACAGTGGCAGAATTCGGCTTCTCCCTGTCTTCTGTTTTTTTATTTGATCAGCAAACCACAGCGGTGGACAGTGAGAGAACGAGGTGTGTGTTTTTGTGAAAAATTGTTATAATGTCTGCTTATTTGAAGATCTTTGATATAGAAAACCTTAAATCACCTGTATCCCAATGTCAAGGAGGAGCAGTCAGGTTTTCTTGGCATTCACCTCATCAGCACAGCTGTTTCCTCCAGCAAAAAATGTAACTCTTAACGAACATTTCGCTATTTTTATTTCAACCAATATTAAACCCGTGGCATTAACTATAACATACAGTCTTGCACAGAAAGGATTAAACACAGTGACAGCACCACTTACAAAATGTACTCGTTTTAACTCAATGAGTTACTGACAGAGATAGAAACATCAAGTGTTGTCTAATATTAAAAGAAATATTTTTTATTTATTATTATCATTCAGATCATGAAATATGTGAATTAGCCTGTAAGTTTTGAAATATTTATTTATATGTGTGTCATTTAATTAGAAAAGTGGCAGTTTATTTATTTAATACATGGAAACAAAGAAATGCACTATAACATAGAAAGTGGTTTTTATTATAGTAAACAGGTGAGTTGAGCCTATTTGGCTTATTCAGAACTCAAATGGCTATGCCTGTCTAATATGTAATACAGTGGAATACTAGTATACAACCCCTATTAAACAAACATTAAGTGTATTGCTATTAAATTACTGCTTGAATTACATAAATGTAATGTTAGACTTATTTTATATATTTATATATATATATATATATATATATATATATATATATATTTTTTTTTTTTTTTTTTTTTTTTTTTTTTTTAACCTTATAAGGAGCTGAGCCCCCCTAAAATTTCAGTCATACATCCTTCACCTTCTCATTGCTGCTGACATGTAGTCTGAACAGTCTTTAAGTCATTGTGTGTAAAGGTTTTGGGCATCTTCTTGGACACTTTTAGTGCTTCCAAACAATGTGCTGCCTTTATGAAGTGCCCTTGTCTTGAGGTAGTTCAGTATGATGCGATTTACTTTCTATGTGCGATTTAATTGGAAAGAAATCAAAGGACAGATTTTTCCACTCAGCCAATCCCCATGGACTAGAAAAAATAAAGTAGTCACTGCAGGTTAAAGTATTGGCGTTAACGCACCGATATAAAAAATGTCATGTAAAATAAAAGAACACATTTTTAAAACTAAGTAAATTACAATTACTAAGAAAAACTACTCAATTACAGTCATTTAAGTATTTGTAATTTGTTACTTTATTTATTTATGTTATTACTGCATTGAAAGTTTTGAATTCAATACAACAATTTTTTTTTTACGTTTACAGTAGACCCTTTGATAAACATTTTAGAAGCACAAATATAATACTTTTTAAATCAACCTGCAATGCAAGTATTCAGAGTTTCCACATTTCTAAATGCATTACTGACAAATGCTTTGGTAATAGCTCACAGAAATGACTATGTGGCATGTTATTTAAAGTTTAAGACAAACATTTGAAAGCAGTGGTACTGGTGCCAAGTCCTACAGATGGAGGCACAATAACATTCACAGCATTAAAAGTTTGGTCTCTTAAATATACACATTTGACACTAGCTTGAGTTCAGATGCAGATGTTATTTGGTGTTTTGTTTAAGTACCATTTTTACAGCCTCATCTTTTCTATACGTGTAGATCCACAGGTATAGCACCTAACTATAATAAAAAAAAGTATCCTAAATGAAAAACAGTAGCCTAAAGAACAAAATTAACGTGCAACAAAATCCAAAAACACATTTCTGCTACAATATGGTTACAATTCATTCTTACCAAACTGAATCTGTGGTGAAAGTTGATGATTCGTGTATTGAAACATGTTCAAATTAGATCGTTGCACAATTTTTCTGTCGCTTTCCACATCAGTGTTATTGAGGATGACTGTTCTGATTTATCTGGCTTTAAACTAGTTTCAATCCACAAGGCATTTGTGGTTTGTACTGGAGAAGTTTGCGCTCTTCTCACTGGATCTTGCATGCACTGTTTAGTGGTTGTTTGATCTTGGCTGTCTAGTTTAGTAAACTCATTTGCTTTAAGCTCACGTGTGTTTTCTCTTAAGCTGACCTCATAACAGTCAATGCAGCTTTCAGTTCAAATAAGTAGCTCTATTTTGTTCTGCTTTTGCTGTATTTGGTATCTGCTTCTCAACAGAAAGGGAATGTTTATTATTGGGAATGACATCAGTGCAACCACTAACAGAAATCAGTCGCATAGGGTGGAAAAAAGGTTGCAAAATGCACCCGATTATTTGCAGTCTGTAGCCCTACAGAAGAAGTTCTTCACACTCTTGATAAAGGTTCTTTGTCTATGAGGTTCTTTAATTAATTACCCTTTATTACTGATAGAACTTTTCCATTGCACATTTTTATTGTGCAAAAATGTACTTTAGCCAAAAGTATCTGGATGCAGACTTGGATTTGCAAGCTGTGACTTCATATCTCAGACGTTCAACGTCAGACACAATGCACTCAGTGGAGCTAGTGACGTCACTGTGAGAGGTGAGGTTAGGGGTGGATTTAGGTATGTGCATTAAAAAGCATTGCATGCAGCTCAGACTGCACTGCACCAAGTCTGCATCCGGACCCCTCTCACTGTAGCCATGGTTTAGACTTGCCTTCAAGATGTGTATTAAGATGGATTTAAAAGCATATTTCACCAAAAACTCATTTAGTCATTTACTCATCATTTTCTTGTCACAAACCTGTTTTAGTGTCTTTTTTTGTGATGAACACAAAATAAGTTAATTTGAAAAATGTTGGAAACCTGTAACCAATAACTTCCAAAGTAATTGTCCTACAATAATAGACGATGGTTACAGGTTTTTAACTGTCTTCAAAATGTCTTCTTTTGTGTTCAACTGGACAGGTTTTGAAAATGCAATGCTATAAAAAATGTTTATGTTTAAAAATGTATATAAAGGTTTTTTTTTTATTGCAAATATTTTAGTTTTTTATGCACTGCTGCTTTAGTTTTATTTTTTTGCAGTTCAAGAGTTCACGCTGATGATTGATTATAAAGTTTGTTTGGCATGCTGTCCCAGGAGAGAGCCCTAAGCTCATATGATCCTTGAGCTCGGGGCTCCCTCTCATTTGCAAGGCGAGAGGGGAGTTTGAGCTCAGGTAGATCTTGAGAAATCCCCTGCTGTAGTAGCTAATGAACAGATTGTGATTGCTCTTGAGAGATAACTACTTACTGGGAGCATGTCTATGGTGCCGATTTGAATTAGTCAATTAACTTAAGTTGCATGTTTTTGGACGGTGAGAGGAAACCGAGAAAGCCAGGGGAAACCCACGTGAGCACAGGGACAACGTGTAATCTCCGCACAGAAACATCAGCTGGCTTGGTAAGGACTAGAACCAGTGACGTTCTTACTTTGAGGCAACAGTGCTAACCAATAGGCCACTGTGCCACCCATCTGGGAAAGGAGGAGGAGTAGGGTTAAAAGAGGGGGTTCTTTAAAATGAAGATGGCTGTTATATGGAACTTAGAGTATTTATAGTGGCTTAGGAATCGTCTGATTGGTGAATCATAAATTAAATAAATTAAATAACCTTCACTTCTTTTTTTGTTTGCAAATTTCATTTTTGTTTCTCAAAATTAATTTTCCCTTTGCAGTTCTTTATTTTTGTTAGCAAAATGTTTTTTTTTCTCAAAAATTAATTTTCAAATGGCTGCTTTTGAATAAATAAATAAACTTGCCTTGCCTTTTGCAGATTTGCATTTATTTATTTGTTACTCAATTCAAATGCAAAACTTTCTTTTATTTTGTGTGTATATATGGCCCTAGATTGACTCCATTATTTCTGTACTGGTTTGTGTTCAAATTACAACTAGTAAGAGAACAATGACCTTAATACATTTTTTCAGAAACACAATTTAAATCCCATCGGGCTAGTGTGCCTTAAAAACGTCCCATACTGTTTGCAAATCTTGTTTAAAGTTTCCTCCAGTAGTGCATGTTGAAAAGCTCACTAGATTTCAAATACACTTGACACCAGAATACGCAATCACTAATGCGCATCTTAATGTGAAGTGAAAAAAGGAGCATTAAAGATGAAAGATTATTACAATGTTCTTCAAAGTAAAAAAAAGAAAGTTATTTTAGGATCCATTTGCTCTTTTGCTACAGTATGTCACTATGAGTGTCATAACTAAAACGTTCTGCTCTTCATTGCAGTAGATGATAACCTGAGTGGTGACAGCCCGATTGATCTCTTTGCCGATGAACAGCTCCTTCGACACAAAGCTCGCCACTTTAGGCCAGTCATCAAAGCCTGGTCTGTCCGGCCAAAAACCAAGAGTGAAATTTCAAAAGGCGGAGATGCACCAAAAAAACATCAAAATCCATTAATGGGACTGCTGGACTCAACGGCACTACCGATTAAAACGCCTACTGAACCAATAACCGTTCAGACTCAAACCAGTCATTCCACCACAGACAGCTCCACAGGAGATGAGAGAACCACAACAACACCTGCGGCCATGGATAATTTAAAGGTCACCAAATCGTCAATTAAAAGAATGGAGGCAAACAAAGTGGAGCCACCAACTCCATCTGTACAACAAGCTCAAAACATGTTGGTCAGGTCGTCCAATCTGGGCCACATAAAAACAAATGAGTCAGTCGCTGCAGCTGTTAAAGTGGAGGCTACAGAGCCAACCATGACAAACCAGACCAATGGGACTGCAGTAAAGGAAACATCTGCATCTTCTGTAACCCAAACTGGAGCGCTTATCAAAGAACATCTGAAAGCCTCAACTCAAAGCACACTTAATACATTAACACCATCGCCGACTTCTCATTCGAATGCTTTAACAGTCACAGAAAGCTCAGTGGGAATAAATGCTCACAAAGGAGAAGTTACCACCATTGTGATGACAGCTAGCGTCACTGGAAGCAAGACAGATTCAGTTACAGACTTAACCCAACTGAGTCCCAGGGTGAGGGAGACATTGACGACTACAAGAACTACCACAAAAACAGCAACCACGAGCCAGCCTGTCAAACGCAAGTACAGTATAAGCTGGGACGAAGAAGAAGAGGCGGTGGTACCAGAGCAGGTGGAAGAAGAAAAAGCTGTAAAACCTGTGGTGGAAGACAAAGTAGGAGAGGAACCTCAGAGGAAGCCAGGTATAGCTCTATGATGTTTTTATTTTTTTCATGTGTGTGTGTGTGTGTGTGTGTGTGTGTGTGTGTGTGTGTGTGTGTGTATATATATATATATATATATATATATATATATATATATATATATATATACATACATATATCACTTTTATTTAGAAACTGCAAGAACATTCCATAATTAAAAACAAAATGTATAAATAAATACAACTAAATGAGTGCATTAAAACCATGCAAATATAAACTATAATATATAAGTCTTGCTAAACTAGGTACATAAATGCTATAGAAATGCCTGTTTTTAGATGTAAATAGAAATATTTTATATGCTATAAGAAAAGCTAAAGGTACAAGATGTAAGAATATTTAATTAAAGTATGAAAAAATACAGCATTATATGCAAACAATAGTGTTACAGTGCATCTGGAAAGTATTCATATCGCTTCACTTTTTCCAAATTATTGATGTTACAGCCTTATTCCAAAATAGATTAAATTAGTTTTTTTCCTCATCATTCTACACACAATACCCCATAATGACAATGTGAAAAAAGATTTGTTTTAAATTGTTGCAAATTTATTACAATTAAAAAAGCTGAAAAATCACATGTACATAAGTATTCACAGCCCTTGCTGTGATATCTAAACTGTGCACAGGTACATTCTGTTTCCACTGATCATTCTAGAGATGTTTCAGCAGCTTAATTGGAGTTCACCTGTGGTAAATTCAGTTTATTGGACATGATTTGAAAAGGCTTACACATGTCTATATAAGGTCCCAGGGTCGACAGTGCATGTCAAAGCATAAACCAAGCATGACGACAAAGGAATTGTCTGTAGACCTCAGAGACAGGATTGTCCCGAGGCACAAAGGTTGAAAGGTTACAGAAACATTTCTGCTGCTCTGAAAGTTCCAATAAGCACAGTGGCCTTCATCATCCGTAAGTGGAAGATGTTTGGAACCACCAACACTCTTCCTAGAGCTGGCGGCCATCTAAGCTGAGTGATCAGGGGAGAAGGGCCTTAGTCAGGGAGGTGATCAATAACCCGATGGTCACTCTGTCTGAGCTCCAGCGTTCTTCTGTGGAGAGAGTAGAACCTTACAGAAGGACAACCATCTGTGCAGTAATCTACCAATCAGGTCAGTGTGGTAAAGTGGCCAGATGTAAGCCAATCCCCACCTGGAATTTTCCAAAAGACATCTGAAGGACTCTCAGACCATAAGAAACTAAATTCTCTAGTCTAATAAGACCAAAATTTTACTCTTTGGAGTGAATGCAAGGCATTACGTTTGGAGAAAACCAGGCACCGCTCATCACCAGGCTAAAACCATCTCTACAGTGAAGCAGCAAATCAAGTTCTCTCTAGGTCTACTTAAAACTTCCAGCCAGGTGTATTGAAGAAAGTTGAAGCTAAACTATGCAGGACACCGGCCCTCCAGGACTGAGTTTGGGCACCCCTGCTTTAAAGAAATTAATTTCACTTGGCAGCCATCTTTGAAACACCTCTCAGGCAGTATGCTCAGGCATTCTGTTTTGAATGGGGAAACAAATTCTCCAAAATTGCTTGGCAAGTTTACGATTTAGTTTCCTATTAGGAATCACCAATGAAATTAGACAATTTGTCTCTAGTTTCTTTTCTAAATCTTCGAATCACGTAAAATCTGCAGAAACTCACGTCTGGACTGAGCCAGAGAACAGTCAGTCTATAGCGATCGACGATTGACTCCTGTAATTGAAGGCCGAGTTTCATTCACCATATTGTTACATTTTTCCCTATTAAAAACTACAGGAGTGACTTGCCTGTTTATTCGTTAGTCTTTGACTGTTATCTTTTGTTGCCATGCTAATAACATAACATCGATTTCCTTGATTTCATGTTTGGTCTCAAAGAAAACCAAGGACGCTTTAATGTGAAGTGTGTTTTATTAGGAATTTATAAAATTCCTCGTTCGGCAGCGGGATGGTAATCCGCCACTGTTCTCACGTTTATATAGATTTGTATGCAGTTTACTCATGCAAATATTTAACTACCTGTTAGGTGTGAACCCAGCATAAAATTGTCATTATCGCCACCTGCTGGTTTGGCGTGCCCTTTACATGCTTCACGATACGTTTTCATCTGGACAGAGATTTTTTAAAAAAAAACAAAAGCGGGGAAAACTCCTTTTGTAAAAATACCTGTGTTTGTGGACATAGCCTAAGTTTTTGTTGTTAATATGTGCCCTCTAGTGGCAAAAATTACATACTGTGCCTTTAAGTACTTGAAAGAATATATACAGTTGGGTCCATAAATATTAAGACATCAACACAATTCTAAAATATTTGGCTCTATACACAAACACAATGGATTTGAAATTAAACTAAGATGTGTTTAAACTACAGACTATCTGCTTTAATTTGGGCTCATACACAACTAAAGTGGATGAATGGTATAGGAATTACAACAGTTTGCGTATGTGCCTCCTACTTGTTAAGGGTCCAATTATGCAAGTAGTTATGTGTCGGCCAAAAATGATTAAAACACCAACGTAATTGAGAAATGCTCTGTTTTTTTTTTTTTTGCAGGAATGTGTAAGGACACCTTGGCCACAATCTCAGAGCCTATCACACACAATACATATGGCCGTAATGAAGGTGCTTGGATGAAGGACCCACTGGATCAAGATGACAAGATCTACGTCACAAACTACTATTATGGCAACAACCTGCTGGAGTTCCGCAACATTGACGTCTTCAAACAAGGTATCAATTCTCACTTTAATTCAAATCCACAAACATTACAAGTAAGCAACTTTACTGATTTCAATTCCTTACTTTACCTCAAGGCCGCTTCACCAATTCCTACAAGCTGCCTTATAACTGGATTGGCACTGGCCACGTGGTCTACAAAGGTGCGTTTTATTATAACCGTGCCTTCTCTCGGGACATTATCAAGTTTGATCTGCGGTTACGTTATGTGGCAGCCTGGACGATGCTACATGACGCGGTGTTCGAAAACGACGATGTTTCATCATGGAGATGGAGAGGAAACTCGGACATGGACCTGGCCATCGATGAAAGCGGGCTTTGGGTGATTTACCCGGCGCTGGATGATGAAGGCTTCTTGCAGGAAGTGATCGTCTTGAGCCGCCTAAATCCCACTGATTTGAGCATGAAGCGCGAAACCACATGGAGGACCGGACTGCGACGTAATCGATATGGGAACTGTTTCATCGTATGCGGTGTTCTGTATGCAACGGACAGCTACAATCAGCAGGACACTAATTTATCGTACGCTTTCGACACCCACACCAACACTCAGGTGATCCCTCATCTTCCTTTTAGCAACAACTATACCTACGTCACTCAGATTGATTACAATCCCAAAGAGCGGGTGTTGTACGCTTGGGATAATGGACATCAGGTCACTTATAATGTTCAGTTTGCATATGTAGACCCGCTGTAGACTCTGACCGCAGAGCAAACATGTCCTTAGCACAAAATAAAAGAAACCGTAAATTAAAGCTGATCCATATCAATATATCAGGATCAATATCCTGATCTTGAAGCAAAAATGACACTGTTCACATAAGACAGGATTACAGTTTGGATATAAGGAACGATTTATATGGTCACGATAAATAAATGGAAATTAAATGATGACTGTATTTACATCTACTGAATTTCATCTTTACACCAGTAGGTGGCGACAATTTGCTTTGACGATTTGTTCAAAAGTGCTGATTTATTTAGTAATAGGATGTCCTCTTTACGAGTAAGACATTAAATCACTGATTCTAGAGATTAATTAAAAAATGCTAATTTGACTAATTCAGTAATTAAATTAGTAGTCTTTGAGTCGTTGAATCATTCATTCAATATATTAATTGAAAATCATTCGAAAGATTTATTCAAAAACACTCATTTATCTAGTAATGAAGGAAGCTTCAATGAAATGCTCATTTTAAGAGATTTGATCAAAGACGCTGATTCATCCAGTGATGAAATGTGTATTGAGGAGCATTTAGAATTTATTAAATTGAGATTTGTTTAAAAAGATTGGCTGCATCGGAAATCACCTACTACTCAGTGGGTACTGCATTTGAATTTACTACTCTTCCGTCAGAAAAAGTATGCTCTATCAAGTCCCTTTAAGGCAAGTAATTTCACTTGGCGGTCATATTTAAAACGCCTCTCGAGGAGTATACTCGGGCATTCTGTCAGAATAGTAGAACATCTAATTCTCCGAAACGGTTTGCCAAGTTTACGATTACATTACATATTTGGATTTTACATTACATATTAGGTTCAAATCAAAGAAATTCGGCATATTTTTTAGGTTGCCCAAGCTAATGCGCATGTGCACTCAAAAGGAAGGAGACACCACGACACTCTTCTTAAGTAATCCACAACTTGGTCCTGATGTGGAATCTTCTCCAGAAATGAAAGTGACTCTTTGTTTACAAGATTGTGAGTGATTGAGCAATTGCTGTCATGTGACGTGCGTTTGACAGGACGGACTGTACCTCACGTTCGTTTCATACAGACTACAAAACTCAAAATCTTTTGTTTTTAAGTGCACTTGGTTCTTTTAAAAGTACAGATTTCAAGCTTTATTTTATATATTTCTTATGTCTGTGAAGCAAGTATTCACTGAGATTCCAGTGCGTTTGTTAAGCTCCAAACTGTCGTAAAAGCACACTTGTGCTACTTGTTCAAGCTTCTCCGTGAAGAAACATATTAATCGATAATTGGCTGCTGTACTAGTGGGCGGGGCTTAATTCACCGTTCCACTTTTCCCCATTTAAAACTATATGAGTTCATGAATTTTCTCACAGGGCATTATGGGATAGTGTAACATATATCGGAATCTCACCGGAAGTAGTTAACTGTTTTTAATGTTTTTCGAATTCGGACATACTACTCTGCTCGCATACCGTTTTTAGAATACTATATAGTATGGAAGTATGCGATTTTGGATGCAGCCATTAATTCATTTGTTAATGAAACAAATCAAGTCCTTACAATTGAGTCGTTAAATCGTTCATTCGAAAAATTCATTCAAAATCCTAATTTGTTCATTAATAAAATGAGCGACTCATTGAATCGTTCATTCAAGAGATTTGTTCGAAACAATTTATTCGCTAAAGAAACAAACGTAGCTCTTACGAGTGAGTCATTGAATCATTCATTTAAGAGATACTAATTTGCTCAATAATGAATTGGGTGAAGTGACTGACAGATTTGTACAAAGGCACCAATTCCGCAAGTAAGGAAAAAAATCAAATCACTTATTTAAACCAATATTTTAAAAACATCATTTAAATGAAATGTAAGATCTTTCAAATTAAAAAAGATTAACTTATAACCCACAGTGTCTGTTCAGTATTGTAGAAGTGTCTCATTCTTAATTTATCTACAATCATATAGCTCTAACATTAATGTGGATTGTGGATCAGTTCACTCAGCTTTCTTAACATACGTAGTTTTAAAAAGATCTTATCAATATGATGTTTTCAAAGTGTAAAAATGGATACATACAATATACTTACACTTATGGTGAAAACAAAAAATAGGATCAAAGTTATTTTTAGGTACATTTCTAAACACCCATACGCTGCAGCTTTGCAGTTTGCATTGATCTTTTTTTGTTATTAAGATTTTGACGCTTGCTTTTGCACAATGAAAACGGACCTCTTCATGTTTATAGCTGTACCTCTTGTCCGGCTGGCAGAATTAGGACATTTTGAAGTGCTGTATTCTTAAATCTAACAGAATACATTGTATATACTGTAACATAAAAGCTAAAACATGGGATTGATGAATGTAAAAATGAACAGTTTGTATTTTCATAAATGTATCTCTCTTTTTTTACCATCAGCTGCATATAGGAAAGTCTTCAACTAACATTTAGGTAAAAACATGTAGTCGTTGTGTTTGATTTCATAGGTACATTTGATGCATATTATCAAAGATTTTGGTATTGTTTGTACATCTTTTTGGCATATTTTGTTTCAATTTCATTTCAAACTCTTCACTCTGTCAGACTCCAAAAAACAAAAAACAAAAAAAAAAAAACAGCTGCAATAAAATGAGTGGCAACATGATTTACTTGCATTGGTTTTCCTTGTCAAGTGGGATGAATTCTGAGCAGTCATTTACTGTACATAAGAGAAAAGTGCTACACTGATCCGCCGCGCTAAATCTGGACAAACAAAACACATCTACGTTTAACCCGAAAACATTGTTTACCCCTGACTTTGAAATGACCCATAATCAGCAGTCAGGTCCCACATTTGGACAAACCTTCAATTTCACAGCACAAATTCAGACTGACATAAGACTCTGTCTGCATTTTTTATGACAAAGAAAATGCTCACAATTCACCCACAACTTTTGACTCCAGTGTTTATTTCTTTGCCTTGTTACAAAATCACTTTTATCACTTTCACTGAGAATGAGCAAACAAAAGGTTGTTCCAAAAACAAGCAGAAGTTAAATAATACATTTATATAGTCAAAATGAAAATGCTGATCAATGGGGATGAGATAAAGTTAAAGAACATTAATGTATGTTTCACATCAATTACTAGACATCTCTACTGAAACTCTGAGGTCAAAATATTTCCTTTTACTAAATACTAAACAAATCATCCACAGTTTGAACACAAAGATCCACCTGAGTTCTGTTTGTAATCTGTGAAATATTATTTTTCCGAAGATACCTGCAACTCCTTTTTTCTGTCTTCGAATGGTGAGTGGTCAGCACAGGCCAAAGTTTGTCTTTACAGTGGAATGGTTTTTGTGAAAGTGACAACAGGTTGGAAAGGACAACCTGACTATGGCTTTTCAAACTAGACAAAAAACTAGTGAATGGTTAAATATTACAGAATAATAGAGACAAATACATAGTGATGAAGGACAGATTACATTTTTTTTAAAAGTACATGAATAATTTGTCTTGCTTCAAATTAATCACCAGTATTGGTTAACAAGTATATTTATATCACGCATGCCTCATTTAAAGTGCAATTAAGTCACTAGGAAAAACATGAAGGCGTGAAATATATTTTTAAAATGATAGATTCTTCATAAAACCCCTTAAACCCATAATTATGAATTAGTCTATAATATTTGACTTTCAAAAACTACACACATGGCACAAGTATCATCTAAACACTTGAAAATATCTACTTTTTTAGATATTAATAACTGTCCTGAATTAGATTATATTTATATGGACTCAAAGGGGTAAATAATCCATTTTCTTGTTTCTCTGTTCAACAGTCAAGTGAAAAAAAAGAAAAAAAAAGGAAAGTGAATTAAAATAAGACAAAAAACTCAAAGCAATGAATCTAAAACAAAACATCTCGAAACAAAGTGAAACAAAACTAAAAACCTCAAAGCAGGGTAAAAGAAGAAAAAAAAACTCGCAAAGTGGTTATTAAACAAAAGAAAAAAACAACAACAGAAACAGCAAAACAATGAAACTAAGAAAAAACAACACAACTCAAAACAAAGTAAAACAGAATAAAAACTAAAAACTCAAAGTAAAACAAACGCACGCGCGTGCACGCACACACAAATAAACCCAATAAAACAAAAGTTAAGACAAGAGTTTTTTTATTTAATTTTTTTTTGCAGTTTCATTTAGTTTCAAATAATTTTTTTAGATTCATGTTTTTTTTTGTTTTGTGCTTTACTTTGAGTTTTGTTTAGTTTTTTTGCCGTACTACTTTGTTTTGTTTTTACTTAGTTTCACTGTTTTGATTTTTTTTGTTTGGTTTTACTTTGAGTTTTGTTCCAATTTGTTTTAAGATGTTTTGTTTTGTATTAGTTTCACTGTTTTGAGTTTTTTGTGTGTGTTTGTGTTTTACTTTGAGTTTTGTTTAGTTGCTGTTTCACATAAAGTAAAAAAAAAAAAAAAAAAAAAAAAAAAAAAACCAAAGCAGTGAAACTAAGAAAAAAAAAATTAAAGTTAAACAAAGGAAAGAAAAATTAACTCAAAGCAAAATGAAAAAGTAAGAGAGGGATTTTCGTTGAGGATAGAGGTACTATTGAAGCACAACAGCATAAATATGACTATTAAATGTGAACCAAACCAGCTTTGTAAAAATAAAATCTTCATAAATAAGCAAAATGAACACAGTGCAAATAAAAATACAATTTCCTGACATTTTCCACAAACTGCAAAGACATATTTCACAATCAACCATGATGGCATTGAGGAAACAGAGCAAGAAAACTGAAAAGACAAGAACATCCTGAATAACTTTCAAGTCACTATATAAAGTACATAGATGTAAATGGGTAGCTGACTGATCTGAAGACAGATGTGAAACACGTCTCCTTCATTAGAAGTAAATAATTGAAGCTCAAAATATCTTGGTAGAGCAGTTACCAAGAGTGCCATTTGAATAGGAAAAGTCAAGAGAAATTAAAGGCTTGTGTAACAAAGCAAATGCTGGCCAAAACCTGGGTATGACTGATTTTGTGGTTCCTGGATGGCTGGGACTAAGAAGAGCCCACGAGGACTCCAACAGGGGCGGCGGGTTGGTTATTGCTGGGGGTGGCGTGATAAAAAGAGCTTGTCTCCGTCTGATTGACCCGCAGGATAGGGGGGATACTGGACGATTTGATGTGGAGGATTTTGGTGTCCATGACCTCACAGTCGATCTGCATCATCACCTCATAATCCTTGTCTTTAATGATGCTCTCTGCAGAGACACAGAATTTGATGGCATTAGCAAAGACAATGAAGACCACGTTTGGGCAAGTGAAACGGGTAAGGTGGCGGGTGGCCAGAGGAGGTTAAGAGCTGTTTCAAAAGCTGCCCTCCCACTGAGGGGTCAAAGAGATCACACACACACACACACTCACCTTTACTTTCACACAGCAGTAAACACAACAATGATGACTCCCACGTGAAAGAAAATAGGGTTACGGAGAGGTTTGCCTAGCTTTAAACTGTTTTTCAAAAGTTCTTACTGTTCTTAAAAAGACAGTTCATCCAAAAATCCAAATTTACTCAGTATTTACTCACCCTTCACTTATTTCAAACCTGTCTGACTTTTTTCATCAGATACAAGAGAAGATTTTTGAAGAAAACTGAAAAATACTAATTTTATAATACTAATATTTGACTTCCATATTAGAAAAAAACAAACACCATGGAAGTCAATAGTTTCTTAAATTTTTTTTATAATTTTGAAGAATGAGTAAATAGGCATGTTTCCATCCAAAGATGCAATTTAAATTTATGCACAAAATAGGCATGCAACGATAACCGGTTTCAAGGTTTATCGTGGTTTGGAAGTGTCAAGGTTTTATTACCACTAAAATGTTCTGTTATATTGTTCCCAAGGTATACGTAAGGTTTTTAATGTAATTTTGTGTTGTAAAGAAATCTGTGTTTTTAATGAAGAGAGCAGAAGTCAATGATTTATTTGAACTGTTTACCCTTACATGTTTACTGCTCCAAAATATTACAAATGTTTCTTAAAATAAAATAAATTGTGTACAAAAAAAGAAATAAAAAACGTTTCCCCCCTTTGTTTTAGCCAGACATTAAAAATGAACTTATTTTAGAGCAGTAATCACAATATCCTGAAATGGGGTATCTTTATCCAAGATTATCTAACCGACAGAAACTTATACCGACCCATGCCTAGCGCAAAACTGGACATAAAGCACTGTTTCCATCCAACGAGTCCAAGAGAACAATATTGCCACTTCCTGATAAACTGGTGCCAAATATAAAAAACAAATTAGAAATTGCTGCGTTAGAAGCACGGTGGCCAAGAGATGCAATTTAGGAAATTGCATGAAATAACAAAAAAACACAAGCAAATTAAGAAAAGATTTTCTCCTACAACTCCACTGAGCAATAGCAAAGTCCCTTGAAGTTAATGTATTCTATAGTCTTCGGCAATAGTCACAGTACAGCAGAGTGTTTTATTAATTTGTTTGCATTGTGTGAAAATGCAGCGTGTTTTTATTCATTTGTTTGCGTTGTGTGAAAATACAGTGCGGTTTTGTAAATTGTTTGCATTGAGTGAAAATGCAGCGGGTTTTATTAATTTGTTTGCGTTGTGAAAATGCAGTGCGTTTTCGAAAATAGTTTGCATTGTGAGAAAATGCAGCACATTTTATTCATTTGTTTGCGTTGTGTGAAGATGATTCGATCCGATCGTCTGCATTTACACAGCACACGGCAAAGGCGCAATGACCAGGGTAAAAAAAAAAAAAAAAACGCGCACAGACTAACAGCTGATAATTTAAGAGCGCTCTTTTCTCTATTTCTGTATGTAATCTGTTTGAAGCTTTTGACGAGCTGTTTTACTATAGTTTATGACAGAAAGGTTCTCATTTGTCCATCTTCTTTTGATATATAGGCTTTTTTAAACCTTTAGGCATCTTGATGTATTGTCCATGGCGTGATTTATGCATGTGGTGTAGCTATGCACTAGTTTTATATTACTTTATAATGGCGGACATAGCGCTCTCTTGCTCTCGTTAACATGCTCAAATACCTGTGCTATATGACAATATAAAAGCTGTTTAAGTCCTCGTGTATGAGATTTAAGGTTTGGGACTCTGTTGAAGTCTGTTCTGAAAAGAAAGTGTCAGACTTGACGTCTTTCGCTACGGTTTTTAATGACGCGCGACTTGCATTAACAGGTAAAAATCCGATCTACCTGCTTACACTGCAGACACGAGAACACAGATCCGATTCATATCGGATAAATTTCCACATATGAACAAGGGGTAGGCTAAATTGTTCGTAGTGTGTGTTTGTCTGTGGATGTTTCCCAGAGATGGGTTGCGGCTGGAAGGGCATCCGCTGCATAAAAACTTGCTGGATAAGTTGGCGGTTCATTCCGCTGTGGTGACCCAGGAATAAAGGGACTAAGCCGACAAGAAAATGAATGAATGAAAAAAAATTTTTTTTTTAAATTCGGAATTGAGTCACTTGAAAGGTGCAGTGTAAATGCGGCCTTTGAACACTTGGATGATTTGTGCGTTCGCCTGATGTTTTCCTTCAAGGATGGTCACTTCTTTCATATATATACCATTTAAAAATATTCGGACCTCATCGCCTACCCAAACATAACTGTCACTTTCTGCCACTTTTTATCACATGATTTGTTGAAGCAAATTCACATTACTTTTTTGATGCGCATGCTAGAATTTATTCGCTAAATGTGTTTCCATCGTAGTTTATGCACATTTTTTCCTCATTGAATTATAAAAAAATAAAATTATTATAAAAAGTTTATCCTACACAGTTGTGGCCATACATTTTTTATGCCCCTTTTTTAAGATTAATGTGCAAGTCATCAACAAATCAGATGGCTTGAAGATGAGAAAATGAACATAAAAATGTGCGGTATACTATTCTTTTAAATTGAACAATTACATTGTTGCTTTTTTGTGGTTCTTCCGGTCAGATAAATAAAACATTAGTGATCCATAATACATTAGTAATTCCTATGACTATCCCATATGTAAATTTCCCAGCTATTTTGATATTGATAAATCTGGGTGTAACTGACAGGGTGGGCTGCTCTTTCATCCTTTATCTCCTGAATGGAGGTCAGGTTGTGACTTCTCTGCCCGTGTTTTGACAGACTCATAAAAGCTCTCGTCAAACCCAAATAATGAGATTTTTTTTGTAAGGAGGCACTGAAGGCATGAGGGTTTACACTCTCTGCAGATCTATAAGAACAGCTCTCCATACCGGAGAAGCTGAGTGAGAGTCTCACATACACGCGCAGCCTATGGACATCGGGAAAGTAACTTTTACAGCAGACATTTGTGATTCGCTCCAGCGCTGATAAAAACTTTATAGGAAAGAGCAGCATGGTAGGTCAATCTAAAGCACTTTTCCAGCCATTACTGGTGAATGCATTTGGGTATGCTACACTTTTTTTTAGGCACACACACAACGATGATCTCAGAACTGGTGATTCTCTCTTCTCTTTGACAGCGCCTGAAACCAAAATCTTCCCTATTCATCTCTGATACTACCACAATGTTATGCGATAGTTAAAATGTCACAGAATCTGTATTTTTTCAGGTGCTAAAAAAAAAAAAAAAAAAAACCTCAGCGCTGCTGCAGAAATCATCACAGATGATGGGTTACAGCAATCATCTCAATCACCCAACTGTATTTCACTGCACGCATTAAAATGACACTGAACTGCTGAGCTGTACACGTCATCACATTTTAAAATATCAGCTTTTCCATCCTATATATTTTAAGGTTGTCACAACTGCCATTTTCCACTCCCAGAGAGCGCTTTTGCTTAGGCGAAATCCCTTTTGAATATGTCTGGTACTGTGCTTGACTTTAAAACACCATGACTCGAGGGTAAAGTCCTGATGGGAGTGTGTTTGTGAGTCTTTGAGCTTCCAGCCAGACTCACTCTCCACCATATCAGCAGTGGCTTCAGCCAAAAAGCCTGATATTTAAAGCATGAAAGACACAGTTTAGCCAAAAATAAAGATTTTGACAGATTAACAGACAATTGCTCTGATTAGATCATTGGGTCAATGAGTTCTAAACTCTGATTTATTGTGAACTGCAGTCACATTGGTTTTTAAACTGAAGAATATGAATAAAGAAAGTTCTTTAAGACTTTCTAAGTGCACATGTACGCGCACGCATGCACGCACACACACACACTGAACGGCTTTAAAAGAAGTTTAAGTGATTTGTAAAAATTAATGCAAGTGATGCTTGCCAAAAAATAAAAATAATAAAAATAAATAAATAAATAAATCGCATAACTACACAGCAGCTTTTTTTGACACCACACATTTTTGGTAGGTAAATGACTTTGTTTAATATTAATCTTCCCTAGCGAGCTGTTAATGAGTGAATCAATGAGTTGAATCTAAAAATCAAATCTATAAAAGATTCATTTTTTAAACTTTTTATTTTTATTTTTTATAATAAACCAGTTCATTTAGCCCACAAGTTAGATCGAACAGATCAAACCAAAGAAGAAGTCAGTTCTTTGGAGATCTGTATATATCTATTATACATATTAAGGCTGCATGTTATTAGAAAAATTTGACATTGCGATATTTATTTCTCTGTGATACATCGGAGATATATATGATATATTGAGATATAATTTCACCAGATGACTTCAATAACTTTTTTTGCAAATACTTTAGATTGACGGGGATGATTTAATAAGGGAGTGAAATATAAATGTCTTTTTTTCTAATTTATTATATACATATAATAAACAAAATACAGTCATTAATAAACACAATGGATTCCCAGTGATGGGTTGCATCCGCTGCGTAAAACATATGCTGGATAAGATGGTGGTTCATTCCACTGTAGCGGCCCCAGATTAATAAAGGGACTAAGCCGAAAAGAAAATGAATGAATAATAATGCATCGATAATATCCACTTATTTTTAGATATTCAATTAAATGAACAAATGATTAAAAACGACAACAAATATTTATCTGGGCCGAACTACAAAACCAAAATGTAAAACAAATTTAGTATCAGTTTTGCTTAGTAAGTTGCACACTAGTTTGATTGTGTATCATTATCATTATAACTATATTGTATAAGTATTTTTATAACTATTATAGGCCTACATCATCCTGGCAATCAAAATGACATCACAAGCGATTGTCTTCTGACCGAGTGCACCTGAAAATGACACTGCTCAGGGTGTGAGAAGCATA